TCCAGTCTGGGCTGTGCTCCACCAGTTCTCTGGAGCTAATTGGGTCTCTAGATGTCCATCTTTTCTCACCTGCAAGACTGTGGGCTCCTTGCAGGCAGGCGCTGTCAACGATGATGCTGACGATAACAGCTCTGATGTGACCCAGCATCACTGTGACTCTGGGTGACTGGGCACATCTCCTGGACCAGCCAGAGCTTCATGATTTATGAAATTTCTCATCAGTGATGACAACAAGCTTGTGTCATTATTCCTCTTGACAGATGCAGAAACTGAAGCCTTGAGAGGGTGAGGAACTTGTCCAAGGTCACCCAGCTAGAAAGAGACAGAGCAAGAATTTTTGACCATATATATCTGTCTGATTGCGAAGTCTGTGCTTTTCCACACCATGCATACTCTTTGTCACTGTTGGTTGCTTGATTCAGATTTCCCTGAGTGTTATTCACTGTGACATCCTTGGGGTTCTCCTTTCTCAGTGGTAGAAAACCTTCCTGTTAATCAGAGAGCAGAGGATAATCTCTCTGGCCAAGGTATTCAGGGCTGGGCTCTTCTGAGCCCAGGGAGTTGGCTGAGATGGGAACACGCCAAGTTCTGTGTGTTCCTCCTACCCCTGTTTCCTCGTCTCTGCTATCCCTTCACTGCCCCACAACTTCCTTCTCTTGTTTTTTCCCTGGAGAACATTCTCTCTAGATGATCAGGGGGCCCTGGAGCTGCAGGTCTGATAGCTCTTGATAGAGTTGGTAAGAAAATGGAGCCACAGATCAGCAAGAGTCCGGACTGTAGACAGACCCCCTATGCCTGCCCCCTGCAGCTCGCATACTCCCGGTGGATTCTTCCTGTACTCTTCCTCCTCCCCATCCCCCAATCAGAATTCAGGCTCCGGAGCTCCTGAGCCCTTTAGGCTAAGCCCCACCCCTCTCCCAGCATCTTGAAGTTTAGGGGCTGCTTCAAGTGAGAGATTCCCGAGCAGGGGTGTGTTGGAGAGACTTCTGGGGGCAGCCGGTCCTGGGAGCATGGGGGAAAGGTGATCACTGCCACTGTCTCCAAGGACACTGAGCTTCCTAGGAGACCCTCTGCCCTTTCCCCCCTCCCAGCAGCCCAGGCGAGCAGGGACCAAGCTTGCTTATTGTCACCTGACGCTGGGCAGCCACTGATCCCATTGGTGGAGCCAGATTCGGTCTGGCTCTTTCGTTCTTTCTCGCCTTCTCTGCCTCTCTCTCCTCCACGCCGCTTTGATTTCGCTCTCGCTTCTCTCCCGGCTAGGAGCATTGCCTCTCCAGGGGCAGAAGCGTTGCGCTGCATAGTCAAGCGGGAGCTGCCAGCGGGGCATGGAAGAAGCCTCCTTGGCAGCCACGAGAGGAGCTAGGGGAGCAAGAGAGTGCTGCTGCCTGTGACCTAGACGCCCGGCTGCTGACCCTCTGCCCGAGGAGCACGTCCACACAGAGGTCCTCCGTTCCCTCCTGTCCAGATCTCCCTCTGCAGAGCCCGGTGGAGCCACGTGAGTGTTCTTCCTCCCCAGAACATCCTGCTGTCAATCCGGAGACGTGGCCAGGGGCTAGGAGCTGGGGGCACCAGGGTCCCGCCACTGCCCGCGGTGCCCACCTGGAGTGCCGGGGATGACGACCTTGTCCCCTTTTCCCTGGGCCCTCAGCAAAGGGGTTCACAGCTGGACCCAGTCCCCGGGGCAGCACTGTCACCCATGACCATTCTGCTGCAGTCAACGATGCCACCGGGGACGGGGTGGGGGGGACGCGTTCCCTCTGGCATGCGGTGGCTGCTCTGAACAGGCACGGGCGGCCTGGGGTCACCAGTGTGTATAGCGTGAGTGCTTGCTTGACAGGGGACTAGAGGCTTGCTTGCGTACATAGTTCTGTCTGCCTGCACTTATGTTCATGCTTGGTGTGTCTGGAAACATACGTTTCTTTTGCATGTGAGGTCCATGTGTGGGGGACCAGTTATCTGAGTAGCTTGGGGGCTGTGTGGGCTGGGGGTGATGTGAGGCAGTATATTTCTGGGATGGACATATCACTTGTCACGTGTGTGGGAGTGCTTATTGTTGGGGGAGGGGAATGCATGCAACCAGAGGGTTTCTAGGTGGGGAGGCACAACTCCGGAGCAGGAGGAGGGATGGAGGTGGAGAGAGTGGGCAGAAACCTCTGTCCATGGGCAGGTCCACCTGCGTAGGTGCGCAAACCTGTTGGCATGAGAAGGATGGGGCTGGCAGAGCCTGGCAGAGATAAACACATTCTTCAAGTCTGTGGCTTTGAGCCTGGAGGAGCCGTGAGTGAGAAAACCAGAAGATGGGCAGAGGTTGACGTGTGTGCGAATACACATGTGTGTGCAAGCAGGCGGAGGTGGCACGCATGCATGTTAGTGCCTGTGGCCTCCTTTCTTCCCCAAATATGGCTTGTGGGAAGGCGTGTGTGTGCATACGTGTGTGTGAGAGCCTGCGGATGTGAACATGCGTGGGTTTGTGTGGAGGTGACAGCTTGTGGAGAACCAGCTGTAGGACATTCTTAGAATGCAGAAGGTGGTGGAGGGGACCCGAGTGCATAGGTGAGTGAGGAGGACAAGGATGTCTGAGGAGGTGTGTGTAGCCATGTGTGGCAGGCGTGGGTGGGCAGACCCAGTGCGTGTGCCTCCGCATGTGGGTGTGTGTAAATGCTTGTCTTGGGGTGGATTACATGGGACCATGGGTGCTGTCTCAGCTTGTCCATCAAACCCTGCCTTTCCCCATCATCTGGGCTTAGAGACCTGGGTACACGCCCACCCTTGGTCCTCTCGGCTTTGTTGTTCTCCCACTGTCACTCACAGTCACCCCCCAAAGCTAGTACGGGCTCCCCAAAGCTAGATCTGAGCTCTCCTAGAACTGGAGAGAGGAAAGGAAGAGCCAGGTGCTGGAGACCCCACCACCAAATGCGGCTGCCCCCGACTCTGGGAAGAGTATGATAACAGGAGCAGGGGGGCAGGGGTGGGTGTCCACCCTCGGGGTCAGTGTAGACTGCATCCCATGTGGGTGGAAGACAGCCCCTCGGGCCCTCTGGGGGATGTGTTTGTGTGTGTCTGCGTTGGTGTGTGTGGGTGCATGTGCGTGGGTGCATTTGAGGGGGCACATGTGTGTCTCCCAGGGAGCTCCTCACTGGAAGCCCGAGGGATGGCAACTTCCCCCCGCTCCACACCTGTCCCCATGAATTACCAACTGGTTTATTATCACACAGTTGTTTCTAGACACTCATCCCATTCTGTTTGATTCGGGGGTGGACCTGATATCAACACCGTGCTTATTTACTGTGGGATTCCCATACACGAGCCACTGGCATTTGGCTGTGTTTCATCGCAGGCAGGCACACACTTTAGGGTAGAAAGCTAAGATGAAACAAGGACTCAGGTGACATCCTAGGGCTGGTAGGAGCCATCATCCATATTCTTCACCCTGTGCCTGCCACCCAGGCAGCCCATGGGTTAATTTAGAGGTGCTGGGCTCTGGAGCAGGCCTAACTGACAGGAGAGTGTGGGTTGGATCTTATGAGAGCTATAATTAGAAGTACCTGCTTTCGAAGGCACAAGGTACCCTCACCATTAGCGCCTGGGTGAGGGAGAGAGATGGGGAGAAAAGGAGATGACACCCCGGAAATCTGAGTGTGCTGACACTGGGCCTGAGGAAGGCAGGAGCTCCGCGGGGGACAGAGAACGCACCCCGGGGCAGAGTCTGATCACGTGCTCTTGGCCCAGAGACAGCCCCCCCAACCTCCTCCCTCTCAGTTCCCCACCCTGTTCCCCAGAGGTCCCCTGAGCCAGGCCAAAGCCAAGGCCAGAGCCAGCTCGTCCCAGTTACAGTACAGATGACAATGATGATGTGTGGTCCTTTCAGACCCGGAACAGCAGCCAGGGCAGAAAGACTGAGGAGGGAGGTGAGAGAGAAGGCAGTTCCTTGAAAGGGAAGGATGGAAAGAGGAAAAATAAATAGCAGTAGAACCATGAGCACCTGGGCATAACAAGCACATACCATGTGTATCACGCATCACACGCACGCGCGCGCGCACACACACACACACACACACGGACATAACCTTAGCTTAAAGATAAAGAGCTTAGACTCTGGAATCAGACCTACATTCCAATCACTTTCCAGCTGAGTGGCCTTGGTATCTTAGTACTACCCTCCACCCCTGACCTCAGCTACTTAATCAGTAAAATAGGGATAATAATAATAATAATTGTGAGGCTTGCATGAGATGATGTCTGTGAAATTATTAGCATGTAGTTGGCCTGCAAAGGATGTAAAGGTTAAAAACTAGTCATTGAAGAGTCAAGTAACCACAGGATCTGCTGCAAGAAAAAGGAAAAAAAAATGGAGTTGAAAAGTTACAGGTGCAAGAGAGCTATGGCCTGCCGCCCCTCCTACCACCAGTGGATCCATTCATCTCCACAGCGCTGTGCTCCCAGCCCCTATGTGGTGATCCTTGCTGAGTCACCCCCAGGGTGGAGGGGGCCTGGGCTCGAGCGCCCTGGCACTCAGGCCTCTGGGCTGCCAGTGCCCCCTGCCCGCTGAGCCCTCACCCCGTCTCCGATGGGTGCTTCCCACCGCTCCTACGCCTCCTTGCACTGTTCTCTCCAGCACCCCCCTTCTCTTTTCACGCCTGCTGGCTGAGGGCCCCCCTCCTCGGCTCCATCTGCTGCAAATCTGTCCCGCCCCGCGTCCGCAGCATTCCCACTGCCTCCGCCACCTGTCAGGTGCCGTCTGCTCTGCAGACCCTCTGCAGAGGGCCAAGAGCCCCCCCAGGGGGGCCCCCAGCCCACCTTTGGCCGCACCCCTCCAGCCCTCCCCAGGGCATCTTCCCATCAGATCCGGCAAGGCAGGTACAAGTGAAGGCTCCTCAAGGTTCCACCTGGCAAGGGATGGTGGGAGCAAGACATTCTAGAAGGTTCCGTGGGGGGGGCGGGAGGGAGGTACTGAATCTTCTCTTCCCACCGTCCTCACAGAAGCCAACCCAGCGGGGAGCATGGAGCTGCTGTCCACGCCCCACGGCATCGAGGTCAACAATATCACCTGCGACTCGTTCCGCATCTCCTGGGCCATGGAGAACAGCGACCTGGAGAGGGTCACCCACTACTTCATCGACCTGAACAAGAAGGAGAACAAGAGCTCCAACAAGTTCAAGCACAGGGTGAGCGCGCTGCCCAGCGCCCCCCGGGAGGGCCGCCCCCAGCCCGGGAGGGGCCTGGCCCCAGCCCGGGAGGGGCCTGACCTCAGCCCGGGAGAGGCCTGACCCCAGCCCGGGAGGGCCGCCCCCAGCCCGGGAGGGGCCTGACCCCAGCCCGGGAGAGGCCTGACCCCAGCCCGGGAGGGCCGCCCCCAGCCCGGGAGGGGCCTGACCTCAGCCCGGGAGAGGCCTGACCCCAGCCCGGGAGGGCCGCCCCCAGCCCGGGAGGGGCCTGACCCCAGCCCGGGAGAGGCTGACCCCAGCCCGGTAGAGGCCTGACCCCAGCCCAGCTCCCACCGGGTAATCTTGGGAAAGCTCAACTTCTCTCTTCCCCCGGTAAGAAGGGAATAATAGTAATAATGCCAGCTGTGAGAGGCTTCATGGAGGTGATTGTCTGTGTGGTGTTCCACTTGAGCCCAGCCCACCAGGAACAGCACTACCAGCATCGGATTGGACCTTCCCATGGGGCGGGGAGACCCAGGGTGCAGCCACAGACGTCACACCTGGGGATGTCTCAGGGGTCCGACAAAGCCCCTAACTCATGAAGCAGCCTTGTTGTTGATGGGGTGGGCCTTGGGCAGGGGTGGGCCCATTGCTTGGCCCTCAAGCCTCTGAGGGGCGGTTTTCCAGGTGGCGCTAGTGGTAAAAAAACCTGCCTGCCAATGCAGGAGACATAAGAGACGCGGGTTCGATCCCTGGGTGGGGAAGATCCCCTGGAGGAGTGCATGGCAACCCACTCCAGTATTCTTGCCTGGAGAATCCCCATGGACAGAGGAGCCTGGCAGGCTGCAGTCAATGGGGTCGCAAGGAGTTGGACATGACTTAGTGACCGAGCACACACACGCACGCGGGTTCTCGTGATCCTCTCTGCCTTCACCCTCTTGCCTATCCTTCACTGGGTTTAGAAAAGAGATGGCGTGGTGAGTCCTCTGATGGCTGGGGTGTCCTTTCCCTGGGTTAGAGCTAGTGTGGGGGCAGGCAGGAGGAAGGCTCCCATCTTCTCGAGCTGGTGAGCTGGCAGCGAGGCAGGGGGAAGAGTGAGGTGGGAAGGAGCTGGTTCCCACGACGACCGCATCGTGTGGGTTACTCACCCTCTCTTTCTTTGGAACTGGCTCTCCGATCTGGGTGTCTTTTGGCAGGCCAGTTGCCACGGTGACGTGAATGTTCAACACCACCCCCTTAACCCTCCTCCCCCCAAAGAAGAAGGCATATTTTCCCTTCCTCCCTGGCTTCTCAGCATTTGCCGTTGCCGTGGAGACGGCGCTGCAGTGTGCAGTGCTCTCGAAGTGTCCCTCGAAAATGAAGGTCTCGCCGCCCTCAACTTTGCAGGCCCCCACCCCAGTGGCCTTTCTCCTCCGTTCCCAAGAGAACGGGCATCAGGGGTTAAGGGGGCGGAGGCCGGGGAGGGTCTGTACGGCCTTCCCAATGGCCACTGCTTGCTTCTGCAGGAAAATGGTGGCCAGGGCACTGAGCCATTGCGTCCTGGAGACTCCGGCTATCTTCAACAGGAAGGTGGCCATCGGGGGAGCGGGAGACCTGGGGGAGTGCCAAGGGTGGACGTGACCTCCAGTGTGACTCTTGGCTCTCTGTCTGCACCTCACTTCTCAGGATGTCCCCACCAAGCTTGTTGCCAAGGCTGTACCACTGCCCATGACAGTGAGGGGCCACTGGTTCCTGAGTCCCCGCACCGAGTACAGTGTGGCGGTGCAGACTGCCGTGAAGCAGAGTGACGGCGAGTACCTGGTGTCTGGCTGGAGCGAGACGGTCGAGTTCTGCACTGGGGGTGAGGTTCTGCCATCCGGCTGCTTTGGCTGGTTTAGCGATGATCAGGAGGGGGCTTCCTCTTAACCCAGCATGCACTTAGCAACTCCTGCTGGATGTAGGCACCATACTCTGGCTGACACCGTGGATGAGACCCACTCCTGCCAACCCAAAGCCTGCAGTCTGATGCAGGAGGCAGATGCAAGCACTGCTAATTGCATTGACAATACCACTTCTGGAAAGGGATGGAGTTACTTCTCTGGCCTGGGGCAAGCATAAGTGTGGGAAATCACACATAACATAAACTTACCACCTTAACCATTTTTCAATGTACAGTCCAGCAGGATTAAGTATGGTCATGTTGGCATGCAACCCATGTCTAGAAAGTTTTCATCTTCCCAAACTGAAACAGTATGCCCCCTTAAACAACAACTTCCTTTCCCCCTCATTAAATGCCCCAGAAACCACCCTCACTCTTTTTGTAAATTTGACAACTCTCAGTATCTCATATGGGATTTCCCTGGTGGCTTAGACAGTAAAGAATCTGCCTCCCAGTGCAGGAGACCTGGGTTCAATATCTAGGTCCGGAAGATGCCCTGGAGGAGGGAATGGCAACCCACTCCAGTATTCTTGCCTGGAGAATCCCATGGACAGAGGAGCCTGGCTGGCTACAGTCCAGTATCTCATATGAGGGGAATCACACAGTATTTGCACTTCTGTGACTGGCTTATTCATTTGGCAAGATGTCTTCAAGGTTCATCTGTGTTGTAGCATGTGCCAGAATTTCTTTCCTTTTTAAGGCTCAATAACATCCCATTGTATGGATGGACCACATTTTGTTTATTGATCATTGGTTGACGGACACTTGGTGGGACCATCACATTTTGTTTGTCTTGAGCTTCCACTCAGCCTTGGAAAACAGTCCTGCAAACTCGCCTATTAGCTTGCAAACTCCAGCATGAACAGACACTGGGGCTTCTGCGTATTGGGTCATTGGTGACCCAGGATCTGCCCCACAATCTTCCATTCTTTTGTAGTCCACGTGAGAATTGCTCCAGATCTTCCCCTGTCACAAGGAAGGGGCAGGAACATCCTTAGCTTCAGGCCTCAGAGGCTGCTGACTCCATCCGCTGCCAAGGCCTGTGCCCCAGCTCTCCTTGACCTGCCTTTCTCTTTTGAGTGGTGTTTTTTCCCCATAACTTGGCTACAAAACCCCACTCTGGAGGTGCTCCTCCAGACCTTGCACGGAAAGTCTCTTGGTGTACCCCAGAACTCTACATGCAGTGGGAGTCCATTCAAACTGGGGAGCTGGGGATGGCTGCAGTCCAGTTCCTCCTTCTCTGGTCAATGCAGCGCCCTGGCCAGGGCTGCATTAGCAAGGAGGAAAGGGCAGTCTTCCTGCTTCATTCAAAGGCGCTGTCTAGATGAGTAGCAGCCCTGCCTGGACCCCACGGCCCTAGCCTCTGGCCCTGGCCCAGCCAGTCCAGTTTTACCATCCTGTTTCCAGGCTTCCTCCTTTCTCCTGGGATGCTTGGGCAGAGTCACTGGCCCTGACCCTGGGCTAAGCCTTCCCCTCAGTTGTCTGCAGTTTCCCCCTCAGTTATTCTTCAGTTGCTAAGTCGTGTCCGACTCTTTGCAACCCCAAGAACAGCAGCATGCCAGTCTTTGCTGTCCTTAATGATCTCCCTGAGTTTTCTCAAACTCATGTCCATTGAGTCGGTGATGCCATCCAATCATGTCATTCTCTGTCACCCCTTTCTCCTCCTGCCTCCGATCTTTCCCAGCATCAGGATCTTTTCCAGTGAGTTGTCTCTTCACATCAGGTGGCCAAAGTATTGGAGCTTCAGCATCAGTCCTTCCAACAAATATTCAGGGTTGATTTGCTTTAGGATTGACTGGTTTGATCTCCTTGCCGTCCTGAAATTACACCTGACTTCCATATAATGGTGTGGACAGGCTCATACCTGCTGGATTTGAGGGGCTCTCCCCAAAGGACCTCAGATTCTTTCCTCTCAATCTTTTGCCTCTTGCTTCTCTTTTCACATGAGAATGGTCTGGGATTACAGACTCTGGGTCGCTTGACATGACTGTATAACTGGGCAGCCCTCTGCCCTTTTCTAATGCAGAGCCCTGAGCCCCTGGTCACAGGGCCCTGAGGTGACAGGACAGACAGCCCCCAGCTACCCACGTCCCAGCCAGGCCAGGCGGTCCTTTCTGGCCCACGGCGCTGTGGACTGCCTGGTCTCCCCTGCACCCTGAGGACAGAGGTGGCTGATGTTCCCAGTGGGCAGTGAGTGATCTGAGGGGGAGGCTGTGATGCCCTGCCTGGCCCTCAGCTCATCCTCCTGGGCTCTTGCAGATTATGCCAAGGAGCACCTGGCCCAGCTACAGGAGAAGGCTGAGCAGATCGCAGGCCGCATGCTCCGCTTCTCCGTCTTCTACCGCAACCATCACAAGGAGTACTTCCAGCATGCCAGGTACGGCCAGCTCTGGACTTCCTGCCCCGGCTCTGCCCACTACCCTGGCCCTCTGATGTCACCCCCACCCTGTTAGTTGCCATACCCTCCTCTGGTGTCCTCACCACCCCCCCCCCATATCCTAGGCTGGTTCTGGGGGGATGTTGGGCTCTAGAGAAGGAAAGGGGCTTCAGAATGGGGCTGCCTGGAGGCACTGCACTGACAGGCCTGAGTGAATGAGGTCCTGGGTTTAATCCTCCTTTCAGAGAGTCCCTTTTGCTGAGCTCTAAGGCTGCAGGTGGCACAGTGGTAAAGAATTCACTTGCCAATGCAGGAGACATGGGAGACGTGGGTTTGATCCCTGGGTCAGGAAGGTCCCCTGGAGGAGGAAATGGCAACCCACTCCAGTATCCCTGCCTGGGAAATCCCATGGACAGAGGAGCCTGGCAGGCTACAGTCCATGGGGTCACAAAGAGCTGGACGTGACTGAGCGTGCATGCACACAAGGCTACAGGTCAGCTGTCCCTCCAGTTCAGGCCCTGGTCTCAAGGGAGGTGGTGAGGGGAACACAGAGTGAGAGGATTCTGAGCAAGAAGGGTCGTGATCTTCAAACTGTGTGCTGGGAAGCCTGGAGGCTCCGGGGAAGGATCTCAGGGCATCCTAGGGTGGTGCTGAAGGATTAGTGAGGAACTCAGAGGATGAGGCTGTGTGGGCCCTGCCCCCATCACCCAGCCAGGGCAGCTTCAAGTTTGTTGCCTCTGCCTGTCTGTGTATAATTTCCTTGGGGGATACAAGAGGGGTTCTGTTTGAATGTTTGAGGTATTTTTAAAATGTCTGAAAATTGGTGATCTGATCCAACACCCTCAGCCTACAAATGGGGAGACTGAGGCCCAGAGGGCCAGCAGGTCCAGGGGCTGCCCATACACTCTTCACTGCCTGATACCGCTCCAAGTCCGTGTCCTTTTAAGGCTGGGCCAGTGCAAGCTGCCACTGTTACTGTTTTTATCACTGCAGTCAGCTGGGGTGGGGCGTTCTGACCTGACCCCAGGGGGTTCTACCGTGTTTGTTCTAAAGAAGGAAGGCAGTAGGTGAGCAGGGAGGACACTGGCCCAGTTTGGGCTCATCTATCAGCAAGCAAGGGAGAGACACAGAGCATCCATGTATGCTGGAATATAAAGATGAATAGGGACTTCTCTGGTGGGCCAGTGGTTAAGACTCCATGATAGCACTGCAGGGTTCAATCCTTGGTCAGGGAACTAAGATCCCTGCATGCTGTAGAGTGTAGCCAAAACGAAAAAAAGAATAAAGGCATAGCCCCCACTCCTGCAAACCTGAGTCTATCAAGGGGACAGTACAGCCGGAGGGAATGTAGTAAGTGTGTGTGATTGCTGAGTAAAGTTCAGTGCCCTGCACATAGTAAGCAGTCAAAGTTTTATTGAATACAAGTGTTTGCTGTTCCTGGAAGGTTTTTTTTTTTTTAATATTTATTTGGCTGCCTCTTAGTTGCCTCACGTGGGATATTTTCTTGCAGTGTGCAGAGTCTCTAGTTGTAGTGCACAGGTTTAGTTGCCCCGAGGCCCATGGGATTTTAGTTCCCCAACTAGGGATTGAGCCCACACCCCCTGCAGTGGAAGGCGGATTCTTAACCACTGGACCACCAGGAAAGTCCCTGGAAGGTTTTAGAGGAGAAGGGAAGGGACACCTGTTTTGGACTTTGAAGGATGGTTAGAAGTTTGCCAGATCAGGTGGGAGAAGGTGGAAAAGGCAATTCAGGCAGAGGGAAGAGGCAGGAGAGACCTGGGGTGGGGCTCTTGCATGGCTGGATGGTGTTACCTGTGCGTGTGGGGGTGGTGGGAGGTGGGGCCAGAAAGACCAGATCTTCCCGATCTTCCTTTTTGTGCAAGCCCCATCAAAAGGGTTTTAATCTGGGGAGTGGCAGGTTCAAATCTCTCCTTTGTGAAGGAGTGGGCTGGATCAGCCCCATCTCCAGGGCCCTCCCTTCTCTTGCCTTCTGGAATGTTCTATTTGTGACTGGTGGAGGCGGTAGCTGGTGGGAGAACTGGGAGCTGGGCTGACTTCCTTCTTGGTCACACCACAGCCGCCAAGCCTCAGTCCAGCTAACCAAAAGCGTTTTCTCTTCCTCTTGGCATTTATTTTTCCCCTGCGGTGGGCAGGACCCACTGCGGGAACATGCTGCAACCCTACCTGAAGGACAACAGCGGCAGCCACGGCTCCCCGACCAGCGGCATGCTCCACGGCGTCTTCTTCAGCTGCAACACAGAATTCAACACCGGCCAGCCCCCGCAGGACTCCCCCTACGGCCGCTGGCGCTTCCAGATCCCCGCCCAGCGCCTCTTCAACCCCAGCACCAACCTCTACTTTGCGGACTTCTACTGTATGTACACGGCCTACCACTACGCCATCCTGGTGCTGGCCCCCAAGGGTTCCCTGGGGGACCGCTTCTGCCGCGACCGTCTGCCTCTCCTGGACATTGCCTGCAACAAGTTCCTGACCTGCAGCGTGGAGGACGGGGAGCTGGTCTTCCGCCATGCCCAGGACCTCATCCTGGAGATCATCTACACCGAGCCGGTCGACCTGTCCCTGGGTACCCTGGGGGAGATCAGTGGGCACCAGCTGATGAGCCTGTCTACCGCCGACGCCAAGAAGGACCCCAGCTGCAAGACCTGCAACATCAGCGTGGGCCGCTAGGGACTCCTGGGGAGCCAGGGTGTTAGGGAGAGATGGCAGGCAGGGTGGCGATGGGTGGCATAAGCGCAGGGAGCTGGCTTTCTCTCCCTTGCCTCCCTGCTCCCTCCAGGCCATCCATCTCCCTCTTCCCTTCCCTTCCCCAGGGCACTAGAAGCAACGGAGGGTGGTCCCTTGGCAGGCATGGCCTACCCATGCCTGGCCGAATTGGGAAGGCTTCTTAGCCTCAGCAGGTTGGTGGGGAGGGCGGGTGGATTTCTGGAGATTTCCCCTTTACCTTGGTTTCCCTGCCCTGCTATTTCTTGCCTCATCCCAGGCCTCCATCTTAGGAGACCTGACCCCCTAGGGTTCTCCCACGGAAGCCTTCCCTCGAAAGACCCACCTGTAGCTTGCCTGCCTCCAGAGGTGAGCTGAGAGCTGTGGGCGTGTTCTTCCTTAGCCCCACCCACCCCATTGAGGGCCAATCATAGAATGCCCCTCCCCCACGAGCCAGGCCTTGGGGGGCGTCCTACTGCAGGCCCCACCCTCTCCCTCTATAAATAGTCTCCTGCACCGATGTGACCCCACCCCCACCCCTCCCCCCCCGCTCCACACCGTTTTTCCTTGCCCCGAGCACCCTCTTCCTGCATGGGGAGAGCCGTCCCTCTCCTTCTCCACCTGCCCTCTAGAAAAGGGCCCTCTTTCTCTTGGCTTTGGGGGTCCTGGCTGCTGGGGGGAGTTCCCCTTCTGCCTGGAGGTGGTATAAATCCCAGCGGACTTTCTCCCTTGCTCAGAGTGCTGGGGTGTGCAGTGGCAGCCACTGGGGTCGAGGAGGGGGGCCAGAGACCCCTGAGACCCAGAGGGACCCCTCCCTCAGCTGGGAGTGGATGGCCTCATGCCGAGGGGACCCGGCGTGGACCTGGAAGCGAGGGCGTTCCCACAGGGCCCTGGTACCCCACCTGGCTGCGCGCTTGCTCGCTCACGCTGCCGGGGCACCGCCGCTGCGCCGTGCCTGTGTGTCACCTGGACTGTGGCTTCCCCGCGCCACCCCCACCTCGCGCCCCCTCCCCCTGGCACTGTTGGCTCCTCACCTTGCAGCGAAGCCAGCCTCCTGGCGGAGAGCCCCTTCCCTGGGGAGCGCTTGGTGAAGTCTTTCCTGGGCCACTCAGTGTTTTCACCTCTCTCCTACTTTTGTGCGGGTCATGGGAGTGCTGAAGATGGACCGTGGAGGCAAGCAGACCTGGTGGGTGATGAGGAGAGGGGTCAACTAACACATCCAGCTGTTTGAGGGGTGGCAGAAGGATGTCAGGTGAAGGAGAGCAGCCCCCACAGTGAGAGCGGACTTCTGTGATGAAAGACAGAAGGGGGCAGCAGGCCAACAAGGCCATGTCTCAGTGAGCGGGCGAATGGGACAGCTGGTGGCCTCTTCTGTAGCCACAGGGAATGGTGTGGTCATCTGTCCTTTGGCCTGGATCAGGGCTGGGGGCCGTGGGAGGTGCATGGAGAAGAGGACGTGGGCCCCAGGCCCTTTCCCCTCTGCTGAGGGGGTGGCCCGCTGCCCTCCCCTGGCCCCGTGTCTGCCCTGGGCTGGGGCACACCCACCTGTTCTGTGCTTGCATCAATAAACCACCATGGCCTGAGAGCCCTGCCTTTCCTTGGGCTCTGGGAAGGGAGGGGTGGACAAGCTGTAAAGTCACAGAGGAGCTCGGACAGGCCACCTGGAATCCTCTCCAAGGGTATTCTGGACTCACTGTGGGAGGCAGGCCTCTGAAAGCAGAGCCACATCTCCAGCTTGGGAAGGACGTTGGAGGTCAATGTGGTGCTACTCTGCACTTTGCAGATGGGAAAGCTGAGGCCTCTTTGGGGAGAACCTGCAGCAATCTGGAAGCGTGACCCAGGTCCACAGGCCCCCTGTTTGCAGCCCCTCCCCCTGCAGCCACCTGCACTGCATCAGCCTCACATGCTACTGAGCTCCCCTCCCCCAGAGCCCAAGTGTCCCCTCCCCAGCAGGGCTCCTCGTTTGTGGATCTGAGTCACCTCTGCGTCTGTTATTATGGACTTATTAAAATGATTCTCTGCTGGAGTGGAAAAGTTCCAGAAAAATTAGAGTCACCTCCCTGACACTGCTTAGCTCGGGGCCGAATGAACATGTGTCATCCAAAGCTTGGGGCCTGGACTCCTTGCACCAGGAAGGAAAGCTGAAGGGCAAATGCCACTTCCCAAGGGCCTACTATGTTCCCAGGCATCCGGCCAGGTGCTTTTACACACAACTCCTTTAGTCCTCCACCCTCTATGATTCCCGTTTAACAGATGAAGAAACTGAGGCACAAGGAGGTTAAAAGGCTTGCCCGTGTCTAACAGCCATTAGGTAGCAATGCCCGGGATTTGATTTAGAAGCTAGAATCTTCCTATTTCACTGCTGTCTCCCCAGTGTATGCCAGGAATCCCCTGGGGTTATAAGACAAGGGTGGGGCAGATCTCCATCACAGCCACCTTCAGGAGGGTCTCCACAGAGCTTTTGGTCTATCAAGTCCATGCCTAGCTCCGGAATAACACCAGGGGGCGCTGTGGAGTCAAAAGTGTCGAGGAAGCTTATTTTAAAGGCATAGTGAGAAATATTTGGAGCCCAGGATTCTAGGGTGGCTTCCCAGGTGGGACTAGTGGTAAAGAACCCTCCTGCCAATGCAGCAGACATAAGAGACATGGGTTTGATCCCTGGGTCGGGAAGATTCCCTTTAGGAGGGCACGGTAACCCACTCCAGTATTCTTGCCTGGAGAATCCCACGGACAGAGGAGCCTGGCAGGCTATAGTCCATGGGGTCACAAAGAGTCAGACACAACCGAAGTGACTTGGCATGCACAGGGTTCTAAGGATGGGGGCGGTGACCTCCAGGGTCCATCCTTCCGCCACTGGGCAGGACCTGAGGGGTTTTCAGTGTCCCCGAGAGGGACAGGCTTCAATCTTCCTTTTGCAAATCCTTCGTGGGTTTCTTAGGAGAAGAGATTGGCTTCCAGGGCCCTCTTAGCAGAAGGTGAAGAAGCCAGGTGAAGCAGGGGTGGTGGTGGGGTTGCATGTAGGTTTCCTCTGGAGAGCCTCTTCTTGCTTCTCCCCAGATGGCCACCCTCTGGCACTCCGGCATTGCTCCAGGCGCCTGTCCAGTAGAGCTGGGTCAGGTCACCTGCTGGCGTCTGCCCCGGGGTCCCTTTTGATCAGTGTCCCCCTAATCTGACCTGGTAGAAGGAGAAAGGTCTACATGTGCACACACACGCACACACACTGCTTCCCTGGGCTGGATATGGAAGACAGCCTTGGTGACTACAGAGAGCTGCAAGGTGAAGGGAAACCTTAGACTGCGTCAGCCACGGTCCAGCAAAGGGGCTCCAAGCTAGCCCTGCTCCAGTGCAGGCAGGGAGGGACAGTGAGGGGCTGGCCACCAAAGGGCACTTCCTGGTTACAGGTGGGGTATTTTGCTGTGCAGGTACAAACACAGACACACCCAGCACATGGACATGGGCTCACACACTCCTAACCCTCCACCACACACACGTGCACACACACAGACACCGACACACACGCAGTCTCCTCTGCCCGGATATATACCCATACTTCCTTATCTGTTCCTTTCCCCGTGGAGTAGCATCTTTCTTTTAATCCTGGATGGATGACAGGCCCCCTCCAAGGAAGTGGGAGAGAAGGCGCCAGTTCCGAGGACCCTCACAGTTTCATCTGGCTTTGACATGCATCTCTTCTCCATGTTAGGAAAGGAGGTGGTAGGGGTTCCAAGGAAGGAGGACCATTCCAAGGAAGGAGGGACCATTCCCCGAAATGGAGGGAGGCCTTCAGGAAGCTGAGCCGAGGTGATTGGCCATAAAACAGCTTGGCCGCAGCATCTGGAGGAGATTGGAACCAGATGTTCCTGGGATGGGGGAGGGGAGGGCTGGGAGGCTGGGAGGGAGCTGGAGCAGGAGAAGCAGACTGTCAGCAGGGTCAGGGGGTCTGGGTTGGGGGCCTCCTGACTCTGGGAGAGACATCTAGCCGCTCCCCAAGTCAGGCACTACTATTTTTGCAAACTGGGACAGCAGATCTCTTCACAGATTCTAGAATCAGCCTTGTGTGTGGGGACAGTCAAGCACAGGGTGTGACTTGGGAGGTGCCCAGAAAGTCTACCAGCTTAGAAAGAAATACGTTGCCTGCCGCCCTGTGAGCCCCGCCCTGGTGTGGCATAAGCATTGCCCTTTCTGGCAGACAGATGGCGGTTCTGCGCTCAACTCCTAACGCACGACTGGAGACTGGTGAACCCAGTCTTTTAGCGCAGGAAGCACGTCATCTGGGAACTGGAGAACTGTTCGGCAGATGACAGGAAAAGAAGACCCATTTACAGAGTGCCTATTTGCTAGGCGCTTTGACAGGTTCCCTTCAATGTGTATCTCTTCCTTTCTGTGTTATCATCCTTTGGGTCAAGACGAAGAAATCAAAGTTCAGAGCAGTTAAATGACTCACCCAGGGACACATAGTCACCAAATGGGAAAGCTTGTATTCAAAAGCGGCTATGTTCTTATTTTATCATATTTTATTTATTTTTAAACTTTTTTGGCCATGCCTCTCAGCACGTGGGATCGTAGTTCCCTGATGAGGGACTGAACCTGCACACCCTGCATTGAAAGCGCAGAGTCTTAGCCACTGGACCGCCCAGGAAATCCAGAAACTGGCTGTGTTACAGTCAGGCTTATAACTTCACAACCGACCGAGAAGCCTGTGGCGTTAGAGTGCAGGGAAGGGAAAGAGAGGGGCAAGAAGGAGTTAGGGGGCAGTGTGGGATAGCCAACCTTCCTACTTCTGCACTTGAGCCAACGGTTGGCCCTGGAAGCCCCCAGCTGACTCAGGAGCCTGACTGTTGGAGACTGCACCCTGACAAGAAGGGTTGCTGAGAAAAGGTTACCGAGTGGGGAGCAGAGGCCCAGAGAGGGGACAAACTGGCCAACATCACCGGGCGAAGCAAGGCAGAGCTAGGTCTCCTGACCGC